TTATTTTATGGCTAGAGGGCATGTGTGCTCAGCAGAGAGAGAGAGAGAGACAGAGAAAGATAGAGGGGAGAAAGCACCCACACTCCTATGGGGAATGGTCATGCTGCAATCCCTTCTCCTCCATCTCTCTCCCTTCTTTTGGGATTTTGGGCACATGTGCCTGGTGTGTTTCTCAAGTCCCTGTCTGGGACTCAAACCATGCAACTGGCCATGTGGGATCCACAGGTCCTGGAGCTGGCCCAGGTCTACTTTTAACCACTACTTCTACTCATTTGTTTCTTTGTATTTCTTTGACATTATCTCCACTTTTTGCCTTCAGGGGAGTCTCCCTTTTTCTTTCCGTATGTTGATACATTGAATTAGAAATCATAAAGGCCAGCAAGCCATGGCTGATGGACTGTACAGAAGTAGTAATGTAATTCAGTAGCATTTGGAGTCTGTGTCACATAGTGCTTGTAAATGATGCTTCTTATATGTGCATTCAGAAATAATGTGTGGGGGGACCAGCAGTTAGCATAATGGCTATGTCGCTGGACTCCCATGTAGTCAACTGCGGTTTGAGTCCCGGACCCGGTGGCTTAAAACTCACGCCAGGCACATGGGCGTGCGTGCCCAAGATCCCAAGAGGAGAATGGAGGAGAAGGGATTGCAGCCTGGCCCTAACCCCTGGGGGATGATTTCTCGCTTTCTGTCTCTCTGTCTCTCTCTGTCTTTCTGGCGAGCACACATGCCCTATGGCAAAAACTTCTCTTAAAAAAAGAAGAAACAATAATAATGTGTGGGGCCAGCCAATGGTGTGGTTTGGTTCAGGTAGCTGGATCTCACATGACTGAGTCCATGATTCTGGTTGCAGAACCAGTGGCTTTAAAGACTCTGGGGTATGTGCATGTGCAGCCAAAATCTTGAAAGGAGAAATGGAGAAGAAGGGATTGTGGCATGCTGTTCCCCATGAGGGGTGCTTTCTCACTTTCTTTTCCCCTTTCTTTTTCTGTGTCTCTCTGGGGAGTGCAAATGAAAAAAATCGTAACGGTTGGGTATCGGCCTTTTATCTAATGGTTAAGGGAGCTGGAGCCCACATAACTGGCCATGTGGTTTGGATTCTGGCTAGTGTTTTGAAAAACTGCCAGACGTGTGCATGGGTGCCCCAAATCCCAATGGGATGGAGAAATGGAAGGGAGTGTGGCATCCTGGTGGAGGGTAGGGGTGCTTTGTCCCTTTCTCTGTCTGGTGAGTGCATGTGCCCTCCGGCAATTTAAGACAGTTAAAAAAATAAAAAAGATAATGCATCATAATTTTGTGATAATATACACATACACTTAAATGTGGGAATGTGTACCTTACTAGAGGAAATATAAACTGATAAAACCATTCATAGGATCACTGGTAGTAGGTAGTTGGACTTGGCTGAAGCCAGGCAGACTGGGAGAATTTGAAGTAATAAAGACAAACTGGGGTAAAAATCAAATTGTGTTACAGTTTCCAACTTTGTAGGTGGACTGTGACTTGGTGCTCATTTTACTAGAAAGTGGCTAAATGAACTGCTGCCATTTGCAGGGCTCAGAGCAGATGAGGTAAATCTGTATTAACTAAGATGAAGAGGTTTGCAGACATATTGTTGAATGAGAAAAGGAAGATGCAAAATGATAATGTTAGAAGATGTGGCATATGTATGTGTGTGTTCATGTAAATGCAGAAAAAATGACTTGACTAAGAATCTAGAACAGTTATTTCTGGGAGGAGGTAGAAAGGAGAACTTAAGCTTCTGTGACCAGCAGTTGGGGTGATGGCTATGTCACTGGACTCTCATGTAGTTGACCATGGTTCGAGTCCCGGACCCGGTGGCTTAAACTCATGGCGAGAGTATGTGCGTGCATGCCCAAGATCCCAAGGGGAGAAGGGAGGAGAAGGGATTGCAGCGTGACCATCCCCCCTGGGGCATGATTTCTTGCTTTCTGTCTCTCTGTCTCTCTCTGTCTTTCTGGTGAGCTCATGCACCCTATAGCAAAAACCTCTACCCTCTCCCCCAAAAAAGGAGAACGTAAGCTTTGAATTGTACTCCTTTCTTACAAAGAGAACACATTCACACATACGAGGGGAGAAAGACAAGGAAGGTCTCAAGTCAGCCATGGTATAACAATTTCATTGCTCTTCTCCTTGTCCCTCTTCATCTCCTGTCTCCTCTGTTTCCTCTTTGTCCCCCTTTGTCTCTTCCCTCTCCCCCTTTATTTTCTGTGTTTAACAAAACAAAAGCCATGTTTAAATAATGTAATGGGTCATATATGCACAGTGTGTGAAGCATTTCATTATTTTTAGATACCAATTAAAGAGTTAAGCCAAGGAGGTCAGAATGTGGTTGGGTGGATTAGAGGTGAAAATCAGCCAAAGGCAGTGGAAAGAGCTACAGATGCAAGCAGTTTAGCCATTTTTCAGTGGCCCTGACCTTCAGTTCAGTTCAGGTACCTATCCTTGTGGTTCTTCGGAGCCTCATTTAAGTGACCTTTCTCTACTGTCTGATACAAATGACCACTCCTTTCTTCTGAAAGCCCCATGCTCTTGTCTTCCAGACTTTGTCTACTTCATCCACCTATCTCCAGATTGTTTTTGTTTATTTGCTTGTTTTTAGTCTTTTTCTGTAGACCCTCTGCTACCCTATCCCTAATCCAGTATGGCAGTCACTTGTCACATGTGGCTCAGAGAGTGCAGGAACTGCTAGCTCACCTTGAGACTTGCTATAAGAGTGAAATTTACACTGAATTTTAAAGCCTTAGTATAAACAAAAGAATGTAAAATATGAGGGGGTCTTCCAAACATTTATGGAAAAAATGTTTTTAAAAAGTATGCCTGGAATTCAATTTTTTTTTGCACCAAAATGAACTCATACTTTAATCTATTTCTCATCAACATTTTGAAGTCCTCCTTTATCTCTTAATATTTTTAAAATTTATTCATTTATTTTAATTTGACCAAATAGAGACAGAGAGAGAGAGCAAGAGGGAAAGTGAGAAAGCAAGCCATCAGGTCCAGGACTTGATCCGCAGTCTGCTATGTTGGAGTCCAGCACCTTAACCACTATGCCATCTGCTGGTCCCTCTCTTAATGATATTTTAATAGTGATTTATATGTTCAAGTGATAATATTTTGAATATATTGTATTAAATGTGATATACTATTACATTTTTTTTAAAAAGATGAATGCCTCCAGGAGATACTACAAAATGGCTTTATCCATACTAAAGTCAGGAAGATAAGATGATAACATTTTAAAGCTGGGAAAGAACTTAACAGATTTGATCTTTACCTAAAAATGGGTTTTGGTTGGGGTGAGAAAACTGAAAAAGGGCAGCTAGGAGGAAAATTCAGCAGAGCCCAAGGGAAAAGGCCTACATTGTTGATGAAAAACTAATGGAAGGGGACCAGCAGATGGTGTAATGGCTGCGTCACTGGATTTCCATGTAGTTGACCGCCTTTTGAGTCCCAGACCAGTGGCTTAAACTTATACTGGGTGCATGTGTGTGCATGCTCAAGATCCCCAGAGGAAAATAGAGAAGAAGGGATTATGGTTTGGCCATCCCTCCTGTGGGATGATTTCTTGCTTTCTGTCTCTCTCTCTCTCTCTCTGTCTTTCTGGCGAGCACATGTACCCTATAGCAAAAACCTCTCAAGAAAACAAAACAAAAACAAACAAAAAGCCAATAGAAGATGGAATATGTCTAATCCTCCTTACCCCTTCATTAAACTGTGTGGTTTTTTTTTTAACATTATTTAGTATAGGCTTTTTCTTTAGAAATGTAAGTTCAAATAAATTAGAATGCTTCCTAATTAATCTATGTAGAAAAGAAAGAAGAGTTATGAGTTTTTTTTGTCAAGAGAGGAACCTTAAGAGTTTTCATAGATTGTAGTGTTTACAGCTACTATCAAACAGGTGGCAAGGGTTGCCCTTAATGGTCAGTCATTAAAGAATAAAGGTTGAAGGACCAGCAGTTAGCATAATGGCTATGTCGCTGGACTCCCACGTAGTCGACTGTGGTTTGAGTCCCGGACCCGGCGGCTTAAACGCAGGCCGGGCGCATGTGTATGTGTGCCCAAGATCCCGAGAGGAGAATGGAGGAGAAGGGATTGCGGCATGGCCATCCCCCCTGGGGGGGTGATTTCTCACTTTCTGTCTCTCTGTCTCTGTCTCTCTCTTGCCCTATAACAAAAAAATCTCTCCCAAAAAAAAGAAAAAAAAAAGGAATGAAGGTTGAATTGTTATTGGTTTTTTTTTTTTTTAATTTTTTATCTTTTTTTTCTTTTTTTTTGGGGGGGGAGAGGCTTTTGCTATAGGGCGCGTGCGCTCACCAGACAGACAGAGAGAGACAGAGAGACAGAAAGCGAGAAATCACCCCCCAGGGGGGATGGCCACGCCGCATTCCCTTCTTCTCCATTCTCCTCTCGGGATCTTGGGCATGCACGCACACGCGCCCAGCATGAATTTAAGCCGCCGGGTCCGGGACTCAAACCACAGTCAACTACGTGGGAGTCCAACGACATAGCCATTACGCTAACTGCTGGTCCCAAGGTTGAAGTTTTCTTGGTTGTGTATCTGTAATTTAAAAAGTACAAGAACTTGATGCACGCAGGTGGCGTAGTGGTTATGATGCTGGACTCCCACATGACTGACCACAGGTTCATGTCCCTGACTTGGCAGCTTGAAACTCACAGTGGGTGCACACATACCCATAAATCTGGAGAAGAATAGAAGAGAAGGGGTTGAGGAGTGGCCATCACCCTTGTGGGGATTATTTCTCACTTTCCCTCTCTCTCTCTCTCTGTCTCTTTCCTTCCTGGTGAGCACATGTGCCCTATGGCAAAAAACTTAAAAAAAAAAAAAAAAGTACAAGAACTTAAGCAAAATGTGTGACCACATTCATCCCAGTTTGCAAAAGGACACAGTTGAGCATGCTGCTTTATTTTTTGCCTTTTATTTAATATTCATCTTTCGTTCTACATTTTTCCCCCAGATCAGCAACGTCTTGTTTTTCATTTTACCGCCCATCTGCATGTGCTTGTTTCGTCAGTATGCAACATGCTTCAACAGTGGCATCTACTTAATATGGACTCTTTTAGTTGTAGTGGGTAAGTGGACTTGTTTGGGAACGTGGACTGAAAGGGAGGAAATGGGATTCTGCACACTTCCTGTCCCCTTCGAACATAATGTTTTGTAAACCAAAGTCACTTTGACGTCTTAGCCCACGTTTTCACTTGCTTGATGCCCCAAGGACTCTTTTGAATGCAGGCTTGGGGACAAGGTGGGCAGTAGCTATCGCTTACTTGCAGTGGAGACTTTTATTTGTGTAATAGCTACTGGTGTCATGCCAGGGCAATTTTCTGAGAACATCTGAAGAAAGTCATGGGAAACAACTGAACTCTGGAGAGACTGTGGTTTCAAATGGACTTTAAAAAAAAAAAATAGATGTTTGATCTCTCATTGTTCTGAGAAATACTTGTATAATTACCATTTCCTCCCACAGACAGGTTTGGAATTCTTCACAGTGAGAGAAGGTTGACTTTCGTTTACCGATTTTTCCTTAAAGGCTCAGTGGATGAAGACAGAATATGTTCAACTGTAAAATGATTAAAGTTCTAATGTGCTGATATTTGGGCCCTGCTTAAAATCCTCTTTAGAAAGGTTTGAGGTCTACATGCCTGGGTGGTGTGAGTTTCTTTTTCAGAGAGATAGAGTGATCTGGTGGTTGTGATAGCAGTTGGTGAAAGGGCTATCCTTACACTGTGTGTTGAATTTGTGAGTCTCTTCTTTGGTGACTTTTTTTTTTTTAATTGGTTGTAATTGATTCTAGGAATTGGATCTGTCTACTTCCATGCAACTCTGAGTTTTCTGGGTCAGATGCTTGATGAACTTGCAATTCTTTGGGTTCTGATGTGTGCTCTGGCCATGTGGTTCCCCAGAAGGTATCTACCAAAGATCTTTCGGAATGACAGGTGAGCTCATGCTTAACATTTTTGCATTCAGCACTAGATACAACAGCCAATATAATGATGTATATAACAAGAAAAATAGTACATGACTAGCTCGGCCTAATGATAAGCTTATCATTTACTTGTCTAATATCCACTGATGGTTTTTATGATCTGACAGAATAAGTAAACTGTCATGTAAAAGAGAGGATTTTAATAGTGCTTGAGGGAGGATTTATATAACATAAGTGACAAAAAGTCAAAAACAGCCCTTGTCTGATATGAGTGGAAAGACTGTCAGTGGGGGAGAAATTACGAACTGATAGCTCTGAGACCTGCTAGAACATTGCCTCAAGTTCCATCCAGTTTCACCAGTCTTATACATCTGAAGTACAATCCACACTGATGAATTGGCTCTTTGGGCTATTGGTGCTATCATTTTCAAATTGTGTTATATTTACTTCTTATGAGAGCTACACAAACACACATACACACACTCATACACTCATACATACCTGTACACACACTCATGTATATATCTTCGACCTGGACATGAAGAATTTCAGGAAGGGATACATTTCCATATGTCAGGGTTGTATGGTTATTTATCCAGTAAATATTTTTGAACACTTACCCTTTACTAGCATTGGGATAGAGCAGCAAACAAAACAGCTGAATTTCTGTTTTGTTTTTTTTTTGCTATAGGGCGTGTGTGCTTGGTAGAAAGAGAGAGCCAGGGAAGGGGGGTGGGGGAGAGAGAAAGTGAGAAATCACTGCCCCTGAGAGGGATGGCCATGCTGCAGTCCCTTCTCCTCCACTCTCCTTTTGGATTTTAGGCAAGCATGCACATGTACCCATGAATCTCTGTTCCTGATGAGCTTACACTAAAGCTGAGGAATTACAAATCAGTAATATAATATTAGGGCACAATAAGTGCTATAATGAAAAATGAAGCTGGTAAGATTATAGTGATGACTTAGGTACTGATTTAGAGTCTGGTCAGAAAACCTTTCTAAGGAAGCTGTAGAAAATTTGTTACTAATTGAAGAAACAGAGTCGAATAAGCTTAATAAAGAAACAGTCCCAGAACACATCACCCACATATTTTTCTGCAGGACTCTGTTTTGTTAAAAAATATACATATGGGGATCAGCAGGTGGCATGGTGGTTAAGAAGCTGGACACTCCCACATGGCTGACCACAGTTCAAGTCCTGGACCTGGTGGCTTGCTTTCTCACTTTCTCTCTCTTTCTTTGTCTCTCTCTGATCAAATTAAAACAAATGAATGAATAAAGTTAAATAAATAATTCTTTAAAAAATATACATATGGATAAATAGCCTAAAATATGGATTCAATGAAGCAAGGTGTGTGGGTTCAGGAAAGAGTTATACTACAGTTTCCTAGTACTCTACCAAGGAGTAAGGGTAATGGGCCTATTAAAGACTATCTGCTGTCTGTGGACTGAGGTGGAGGAGTGTATGTGAAAAATGTTGGCTGCAAAAAGAACATTGTGGAACTGTGTGTGTGCAATATCCTAATTTTAGAATGAATGAACTAAACACTTTTCTGAGTGTGTGTTTTTCTATGTGCACAAAAATTCCTGGGAGGAAGAGGACACCAAACTACTACATCAGCTATTCTTGGGCTTTGGAGTGGGGAGGAACTTCTTTTACCTTTAATCTGAAACGGCTGAAAAATTTTTTTTACAATGAGTGCATGTTAATTATTTTAAAATTTGTTTATTTAATTTTACATGTTATTTATGTATTGTTAAAAATTTGACCAAAGGAAAAGGAAAGTGAGAAAGTAAGCTGCCAGGTCCAGAACTCAAACCAGAGTCAGCCATTGTGGGAGTCTGGTGCCTTAACCGCCATGCCACCTGCTGGATTCACATGTTAATTTTTAATACTAAAATTTTGTTTTTAAATAAGGTAGGAAGAAAAGATACTATAAATAGATGAGCTGTACAGTCTTTTCCCAAGAAGCAGGATTTGAATGAAATAGTGTTATTGCTAAATATCATCTAGCACATAGAAATGCCTTAAAAAGGTTACTTACTAGAATGAGAGAGAAAAAGGAGAGAGCTGTTTACAAGTAGTTCCTGGTCTTAGATAAAATGTGGTTCTCCATCTTGCTGAGGCCTTCTCATCTACAGAGAAAGTATGCTTTAAAATGGGGTAGTTGGTTTAGGCTGTCTCCAGTTTTTAGTCTTAAATTAAAAAAAAATTATTCATGCAAGAACTCATGCATGTACATGAGAGAGAGAGAGAGAGAGAGAGAGAGAGAGAGAGAACAATACAAAGACACATCCTCCACAGGGTTTGGTTACATCACAATCCCCGTCCTCTTGTCCTCTAAGCCATTGGACCTTGGGCCCTTGTGCATGCCTGGTGTGTTTCAGGCTGACCAGGACAGAGACTTGAACCACAGTCACCATGTGGGGTTTGACTTCTCTTGAGGATTGTGCCTCCCCACTGTACCAGAGGGCCTTTCAAGTTTCTATTCTTCTTTGGTTTCCTTGTTGAGCTTCAGGAGAAGCCTTGTGAGGTGGAGGAGAGAGTGAGGGCAGAGTGGAGGTAGAGGGCCAAGGCAGGGTTAGGAGGTTGGTTGACAGGAAGACTGTCTTTGACTTTGCATGGAAAACAACTCATTTGCCTTTTGGCTTTGCCTACTGTCCCACTGGGTGCCCACAGGCCACCTCATCCTTTCTCTGAGCTTGGTGCATGTTAGGTTGAGAGCTAAGGAACTGCTTTTCACTTAGATCTGGTCTTTCGAACCCTGGGATCTGAGTAAGAAATTGAAGAAATGGGAATAAGGGTTTTGTTGGTTTAGCATTCTGGAGACCTGAGTGAAATTCTGAATGACAATTTCTCATGTGTTCGTTATAGAGAACCTTTTTCCTTTTATAGTTTCTTAGAGGTAGAAATGAGGATATGCTCTGAGGAGCAGGAGAGAAGAAAATGGGACAATAATGTTGTAATGAACATTTACCAACTTTAATAATGAAGACATATATCGTGAGGCAGGGATATCTGTGGCCATTTGCAGCTTTTCCCTTGCCAGCACCCTGTGGCATTTCTCTGGGGAAGGGATGAGGTGTGACCACTTCGTCCTTAGTACAAAGAGAATCCTTGGAGGTGCTGCCCTGGCTTTGGAGACTGCCTGAGTTTGAGTCCTAGCTTCGCTACTTGCTGACTGCTTAGCGTTTGCCTCTTTCTGTTCCCTCAACTATGGAATTAGGTACTTAACAGTACTTCCCTCAGCTTCTTCAGGATGACCCTGCAGAGCAGTTAGCACAGTACTCAACAATGTGCTGAGGACTCTGTCACAGCTTGCTGTCTATATATCCCTGTCTGCATTCCTGAGATATGCATATACACTGAAGGAAAAAAAGGGCATTAAAATGTTTCATGAGAGACCAGCAGATGGTGTAATGGTTACGTTGCTGGACTCCCATGTAGTTGACCACAGTTCGAGTCCTGGATCCAGCGGCCTAAAACTCATGCTGGGTACGTGAGCATGCATGCCCAAGATCCTGAGAGGAGAATGAAGGAGGAGGGATTGTAGTGTGGCCATTCCCCTGGGGGGTGATTTCTTGCTTTCTGTCTCTCTCTCTCTCTGGTGAGCTCACATGCACTATAGCAAAAATATCTCTTAAAAATATTAGTGAGCGAAGGAATAAAAAAGGTGAGCAAAGGAAAAGAAAAAAGGGGAAAAATGAGTAAGGATTTCAACTCTGTTTGCATACCTGCCATTTTTTAGTGATGGGGAGACAAAAAGGCCAAAGCTCTCTGTGTGGGCATCATTGCCTGTGATGCAGAGCAGGTGACAGTTCTGCAGTGGAAGTGGCAGTCCTGACCAAAATATTCGTGTCAAAATCAGCATTTCTGGGTCAGCACTGTAGGGCAGTGGTTAGGCCCTGTGCAGAAAGAGCCAGATCCCACATGGCTGACTGCAGCTCAAATCTCTGGTTCCAGCAGTTTGAAAAATATAACAGGCACTTGTGTCTGTGTGCCCCAAGTCCTCTGGCATGGAGAAATAGAAGTAAAAGGATTGTAGTGTGAGGGGTCAGCAGGTGGTATGGTGGTTAAGAGTGCTGGACTCCCACATAGCCGACCGTGGTTCAAGTCCTGGACCAGGTGGCCTAAGGAGCATGATACCTCTTTAAAAACAAAACGAAAATCAAAATAGGATTTCTATAGACCAGATTGTCTGATTTAACTGCCTGAACTTGCCAGATAGTTAACATTTATCTTTGTTTTGATTTTGCTTTCTTTCTTTTTTTTTTTTGCTGCAGATTTTGCTGGAATATTTATTTTTTTTAAGAGAGATTTTTGCTATAGGGCATGTATGCTCATCAGAAAGAGAGAGAGAGAGAGAGAAAGAGAGAGACAGAAAGAGAGAAATCACCCCCCAGAGAGCATGGTCACGCTATAGACTCTTCTCCTCCATTCTTCTCTTGGGATCTTAAGGCATGCAGCCACACGTGCCCAGCGTGAATTTAAGCCGCTGATCCAGGACTCGAAGTGTAGTAGACTACGTGGGAGTCCAGTGATGTGACCATTACACCATCTGCTGGTCCCTTTGATGGAATATTTCTTTCTTTCTTTTTTTTCCTTCTTTTACTAGAGAGCACATGTGCTTGCAGAGGGAAACAGAGATAGGGGAGAGGAGACAAAATCCTCAAAGGGAATGGTCATGCCACAATTCCTTCTCTTCCATCTCTTTCTCCTTTCGGGATTTTGGGTGCACATGTACCCCACATGTTTATCAAGCCACTGGGTCTGAGAGTTGAACTGTACTGTTGGACATGAGGTCATCTGGCTATCTGAATTACCAGGCTTCAGAACTGAACCACTGGAATATTTCTAAACACGTAAAGGAGTGCTGTAGATCCAGTGTGATATTTCTGAAGAAGAGACAGTAGAGTATGGTAGCTAAGTGAGTTCGGTTCAGACAGACATGGCTTTGAATAGCCATTCGCTTTTTAATTTTTAAGCTCTAGAAGCTCCTTTTGCTAATC